ATCCTAATAAATGACATAAATAAATAATCAATAAAGCTCTTTGATGAAAACATATTTTTAAATACATTTCGTCCTTTGCTTCAGGAATATTATCAGTATAATTATGGTTTTTAATTAACATTTATTAAAAACACTAAAATATGAATTTGTTTTCAATTAAAATGCCGAATACGATAAGATAAAATGTTTAACCAGTCGAGGCATGTATAATTGAAACTTGGTAACTTAACATTCTTAATAATTAACATTCATTAGCAACTGATAGCATAACTTATATAGCAAAAACTGCATATCTACTGAGTGACACATTGAAAATACTAATTAAACAGTTATTTACTTTCTTTTCGATGATGCTAAAGTATTTTTGGGACATTGATCAACATCAGCACACTCGCAGAACCAACAGCGTATCCACAAAATATTTCAAGTGATAAGGCAATTTCAATTCAGACACTCACATTTTTTTAAAAATATTTTCAAATACTTTTAGCTTGAAATGCCAAAAATATACCCATAATAGAAATACTGCATCGGATGTGATGACATCTGTATATGATAATTATTTTGAATAAATTGATTATTATTACAAAAAATTGTGGCAGTGGGGGGGAGAGAGACGACCTCTGTGCCTCCTCTTCGATCCGCCACTGTATAGAACTGTTCGCGTCTTCCAAGGTCATAGAGGAATGTCAAGATCATAGGAATAGAAGGTATGGCAACTACAGACCCTTAAGGCAACACTAAGACAACAGGGATACTAAGAAACTTGTTACGCCACGCCGCACACTGGGGAAAAAGCCTGAAAAGCTGGCTAAAAGACGAAGGTTCCAATTGTATATATAAAATTTTATCTAGGGATTTTTAGAGTCGCTGAATCCGAATCTGAAGTCACATTTGCATTTTTTTTATCGAAATAAATAGATACAATAATACATCAGAAAATTAATTTCTAAATAATTTAACACACATATTTGTCTGACTACTAATTTCATTTGGATGATTAGAAATGTCAAGAATTAATAGATCAGGATATATTTCTGCAATATTTTGTAGTATTTCACTTATCACACATTTTCCTTCAATTTATGAAGGAATTAATTTCAATTAAGGAAGGAATTTATGAAGGATTAATAAGAAAGTGAAGACATGAACAACGACTTCACTACAGTTCCGGAGATTTAGTACTGGCAGCTAGCAAGTACTCTTCTAGAGCGGCGCAATAGACAGAGAACCACGCTTTGGCCATTAACCCTCCTCCTCCTGCACCCAACAGCTCAATACTGAAGCCCTGTGGCCCACCTGAACCCACGTAGTCGTTTTGTGACTTCCAAACAGCAGAGCAGAAACGGCTCATCTTACATTTCATGATTTCTGTCACAAAATTTTACATGTACAATTCCATTTCATTCAATTTATTGCGTAGATATACGTTTTCAGGAGAAAAACTTACCCACCCTACAAAGGGGAATGGAAGCGGGAAATGGGAAAGAAAGGATCGCGCACCATCAGCGACTGTTGTTAAAGATCTTGCTCTGGCATTATTCGTATCGATCGGAGTAATCCAGAGAAACGATCCACCCCAGATAGCTCTGAGCTGCTCTGGAATTTTCATCCAGGCCGAGGTATACTTCCACCCAATTGGTTAGACGGTCTCGAATATCCGACACCCTCAATACACGAAACGAGATCTAACAACTTTCAATTGCGAGCTCGCAACCTTACGCTATTCTACTGTTTAATAAAACAGTAAGAATATTTTTATATCCAATTTTTATTTAGATCTCTAGTTAAAAAGTAGAACGAAACTTTTCCGCCTTGTAGAGGCGCTTGATTTCATAAAAATTGAGACCATTGCCAGGGTTAGATTTAAGGAAATTAATTTAATAGTAATTAATTATTTTTAATGTGAAATACAAATTATAATGTTTTCCAAATTGATTATTTATTTAACTGTTTCCGAGATGTAATATAATGAGCAGCTAAATTCAGCTAAATTCCTCTTGTCTATCCATTAGGTTTGTGAAATCCTTATATATCAAAGAAGAATGGACAACAAGAACCAATGCTAAAGAAGATCAATGGTAAGTTTTCAAATTTCGAATCTTCCTAATTTCAAAAGCATGTATTGTCAGTTAAGGTTGATGTATGTTCTGACCATATTAGTAATGATAATATTCTTACCACTCCGGCCTGGCGAGCCAAGGTCGATAAGGCTGAAGGACCGTGGCTGCCTAGGCTTGGAGGTCGCGGTTTGAATCACGTCCTGGACATGGATGTTTGAGTATGTTGTTAGTATTTGTTCCCCCACCGTTATCCGAAGTTAAAAGTTACAGTGATCGCTATATAACCGAGAAGTTGAAAAGCGACCATCAAATAGAAATCGTGCACGACAAGAGAACAAAAAGTGTTAGTGAATTCTTTAATTGATCTTGATATCTTCCTTCAATTTAACACCCGTTTAGCCTTTCTTCTTCGAGCTCGGCTTGGACGGGGTACAATGAGCCTGAACCTCAGTGGCGGCTCGTGCTTAGGTTGCATAACCCCCAGACATTCGAAACATATTTTTAATATGTAAGGAATATACATTCTTGTTTGAATGACATTAAATATTCAAGATATTGCAGCAATATCGATGTATGTGAAGCATTTTGATACTACAGAGCGCCCAACTGACGGCCTCTCCTGCATCTGGTGCCCTCCCAAGTATTGCACCACGCTCTAGCCTCTATTACTGCTTTTACTCTTTGGCCGTACGCTTCAACACTCTTCAACATAGGGCCTTCGGTGCGGCAACAAATGGGTGGGGGTCTGGTTGCCGAGGGCTGCACGGTGTCTAGAAGGGAATCTCAATTCTCTCTCTTCGTCTGGTGCAACTCAATATAATAATTTTCGTGTTTTATTGAAAGTACACAGGTTCAGTCGATTATTGACGGTATTTAATGCATTATTTATGATGTTTGGAATTTTTTTCATTTGATATTAGTTTTATTGATTTAAAAAGAACACTTATTGAATTCTTTGGGTAAAGTTCGCCGTTCTGGAAGTCCCTTTCTGTCTCTCATGGTGAATGCATATTTCCGTCTGCAGCAGCCTAAAGTTACAGACGGAGAGTGCCCGTGAGAATAGGATCGTATATGTGGAAGGATCTTTCATTATTACATAATAAACCAGGGTTGTGAAATTTTCGAAATAAAATAATATTATTTGCATAAAAGGTGACAATATGAGAAGCTTGTTGCAATTTGCTGGAGCATGTTTCTTAGTATTTTGAATTTTGGAAATTATATCTCCATCGTTCGACGGAGGAGCAACTTACAGATTGTTGAGGCACCAGCCGCCACTGCTCAACTTATAATTACTAGTCAATAAGTAAAACAACATTTAATTATCTGAAAACGTTAACGGTAACATAATTGTTTTAAGCTTTTGTAAGGAGATACTGAAGTTGAATGAACTGTAACTATTGATTTTTGTGCTTATTATCCCAATGCCTTGTATTCCAGTTCCTTATACTATTCATAGAGAATTTTACTTTTTTGCCTACTGCTTACGCAGTATAGAGAAAGTATTGTAATGGTGAGGGGGAAAAGAACGATTTTTCTGTCGAAAAAATCGTATTGCCTGGCCCTGTTTACGAAACTTTTTCCTATATGTAGTAAATTACTCCCTCTAATACGATGTGGAGACAGAATAATCTTTTGTTATGTCTTTGATACTATTACATCGATTGACGGAAAAACGTCAGTCAGTCAATTTGTGTGCAACGCTAGAGGCTAAACCGTAAGTAGAATTTTCAACAAAATGAATATTTCCCAAACGTTCTGACATATATTGCGACCCCTTGAATTTAAAGTAGATATTTTGATTTTTGGGGGTACTTAACATCAATCTTCAACAATATTTTCAAAGTTTTCTCGTAAATGACTCCAATTTTTTTCTTTATCTTGTTTTCTCTGATACAGCAAAAGACCCTTCAAGAATTGGCGTACATCGCGTTTTCTATGAACTCCTTCAGTTTTCGACGATTGAAAAATTTCAATTTTTTCGTCTTGTTTCTACAACTACAATAATGAAAATAGATTTTTTCGTAAAGACATCTGTTTGCCAAAAACAGATCTTTAAATAAGGTTTGTTGAATTTTTCGAAAATATGTGTAGTTTTGCGTAATTGTGCGTTGAAACGTTCGCAATTTTGAAACATTGAAATAATTATCTTTCTTCAAATCAACCTCATTTTTTTCAAGTAAATGTAGTAAAGAAAGCTGGTGGTCTACCTTTTTGACGAACTCTGTAAACAAAAATCACAAACAAAAACAGACAATTAACATGGCATAAGTACAATATTGATGATAGGAAATTAATAAAATATGTGTTTTACACACAAGTTGTATTACATTTTGTCGTCACATAGTGTAAAAGACGCTTAAAAATGGTTAATGTCTAATCTTCGTTGACATTTCTGCTTTTTGAAATGTTTTTATCAGTTCGAAATGTTTTTCGGATTCTTCCTACAACTACATTTTTGAATGTAGAGATTTTTCCCTCAATTAAATCTGTTGATGAAAGTTAGAACTTTAAAGAAGGTAATGTACAATTTTTCGATAATACGAGAAATTTTCGTAATTTTCGCGAAAATTTTGGTGACATAAGGCAATTTAAACAATAGAGGAGAAAACTGGAAGAAGAATGTTTAGGCGTTATTGACCAAAAATTATTTAAAAATTTTTAAAAAAGCCTATATTTTACGCAAATGTCTCGAAAGTCCGTATTTTCAAAAAATTGTTCTTGATTTGAATTGCACTTTTCCGTTATCAGGACCCGGAGTCTTTCTGTCGAAAATTCACCGCTGTTCGGCGCACGATTACAATACTTTCTCTTCTTACGAAGTAAGGGCGGGAAAGGAAAATTCGATGTTTCGTTATCGACGTTGCATCACTAGTGGACACAGAAGGTGCTTGGCCTGCGCGCTCGTTTGTTCGGAGGGTGGCGCCGTGCGGGCACCGGGGCGCGCGTCGGGGCGAGCGCTGGGGAGCTGCGCGCCGTCGCCCGCCCTCTGCTGCTGGCGCTGCGGGCGGTGGGGCTGGGCCTCTGCGGCCCGCACGCTACGCCCACGCCCATACCCACCCACGCTCCACAAGCTTCCACTTGGCTGGTAACACCTATTAATTACCCTTCAGAAATCCACTCATGGCGCACGTGCCGTGCCAACGAGGTCGCACTCAAGGAGGATTAAAATCTGAAGAAGCTATATATATATACAGGGACCCTTGTTTATGTAATATAAATTATGTTAATCTAATATTCAATAATTCATATAAATGGAGATAATTTTCGTCAATATTTTAAGGGCCAATATCTTTAAAAACATTTATTATTTAAAATGTGAATCAACTTTGTGAAATGTATATCATTAAGAAACTAGTTAAATCATTCTTTAATGTTAGCATCGCCTTTCAAAAGTGGCCATTCTATTGACTAATTATAATGTTGAAATTCCATGTGTTAAAAACCTGTTGAAACGAGAATTCAATATAACATAAATGAAACATTGTACTTCACCATCCAAATTTAATCGAAATTGTTGTTTGTCGCTTTCAGTTTCTGAAGCCCAGGGTTCGATAATAAATTTATTACAGCAAATAGCAGTCGATCATTTGTCCACAGAATTATAAAACTCTGTAATCTCTGATAAGATGATGTCATATTAACTTTCCGAATCATACGGTGTACTATTCAGAATCAATAGAAGCTTGCCGCCTACTGCATATATAATTGAAAGGTCGTGCGCATCACTGGTCTAACCCTCCTTTAGACTCTGAGATAATGTACTTCAAATTTGATATGCTCCAGTGTTTCATATTTTTCTTTTACATTCATTTTATTTTCAGTACTTTTTCTGAACATTGGTATTCTTTTCAATGAAAGAAAAAACTGCCATAATATGAAAAAAAGGAATATTAATTAAATTCTGTAGCTTGGCACATCATAAAACATTGATTTTAAAAAAATACATTTTTGATTTTAGAAAAAAAATAA